GTTTTAACGAGAGCTTTTCGTAATGATGCACAGTAAAAACGCTGCTTAAAAAAGTGATGTTCACTTACAGTTGTACACTATCTTAAACAACAGTTGAACAAATTGTAAACAATGTTGATCGAAACGAAAGTAATTTTGTTAAACATTCGCTGTTTAAAATTTAATGACTGCTATATTTACTACACGAGAGCTTTTAGACAGTGTTGTTTACATATGACGTCATGTGTCACGTGCCAGTAAAGTGCGCGTTGGCTAAAAGCATTGTTTCACATCATGGCCGACCAAGCTGTAGAGGTGTCGTGGATGAGTGGAAACGTCGCCGGACTGTCGATCACAAGGTCCACGGTTCGAGTCCCGCCGTGGCACTAATGTCCTTTGGCAGCCTAGCATAGCCGGGTAATGTTGGAGCGCCTTGAGGACCTTGCAAGGTCGGTACGTGCGCTATATAAGAATCCAATAGTATTATTATTATTATTTAACAACAGCTCCTTTTTAAACAACTTTCTTTAAACAACCCAGTTGGTGTAAACAACCCCCACTGAACAACAGCTCCTTTTTAAACAACTTTCTTTAAACAACCCAGTTGGTGTAAACAAGCCCCACTGAACAACAGCTCCGTTTTAAACAACTTTCTTTCAACAACCCAGTTGGTGTAAACAACCCCCACTGAACAACAGCTCCGTTTTAAACAACCGTCTTTAAACAACACCGGTTGTTTAAATTGTGATTTTAAACAAGTTGTTCAAAATGTTGATCAACTAAGTGTTTAAACTTTAAACAACTCGAGTTGCTTAACATTTTAAACAACTCTTAGATCAGGTCACCCGTTAATCCAAAGTTGTTTAAACTTTTAAACAACATGTTCACTAAAATTTTAACTGTGTGCTCTGAAATAGCTCGTGTTAGCTGCCATTTAATCGCAATATATTTGTCATATTCCTTTACTGAGGGTATAGCTTTTGGTTTAAGTATTTTACGTAGTGAGGTCAGGCTAAATTGCGACTGTATATTCCCGTGTCCACACAAAACACTTTCCGTGATATAGGGATGATTAGTTATACCGTTTCGGGATAGTTATACGATGAAATTCTGTGTGTGGACGCTTACTATACGTCGTATAACAAAACGTCGTATAGCGAAACGCGGGTTTGGGCATCGTTTTTAACTGGAACTCATTAAAGAACCACGCCTAATCACGCCTAATTACGGAATGTGTTGCGTGTGGACGTACTAGTATAACTACTAGAACTATAACGGTATAACTGGGCGGGGCTTACCTTACGAGAAAGGAGACATGACCTTTCATTTTCGCTTCCATTTCATGACCGCAGTAGCAAACTACGCACCTATACGACATTTCGTTATAGAGTTTCGGGATAAATTGTTTTTCTGTGTGGACACGTTGAATATGCCATACTCTACGCCATGTGAGTACGGCTACTCATAAATCATAAAGCATGACGATATAGCTATGTTCATACGACAATCCGTTAGCTTAATGGATATCTCGGCGTTTTAAAATTGGATATTGTCTTGCAGTCAAGCTCGAAATGTACGCACTCATGGTTTGGGAAATTTCCCTCGAGGTATTAATCCAAGAGTGACTTCATAGTTTACGCGCGAACTAGAAACAGCTGGGTCCTCATTCGATGTGTGTTGCCGTGTGGACGCGATTAACTTCAATTCATCGTCAACTTGTAGTTACTACAGGGAAGCTTGCTAGGCTGGCCTTGTTTAAACCTTTTTTTCCGGAGTCGTATGTTGTTAATCGGTTTGTATTTAAAACTTCAAGGATTTGCAAACTAAGAGATTCAAGATTATCGGTGCCGTGGAAACAAAGCTATCACAAAAAAGTGAGCGTAGCAAAGGCTGAAGTTGGAGAGAGTGTATTCTTAAAAGCATTTTCCTACGCAGCGCAGAAGGATATATACATAGACCCTTGGGCATAGAGGTGCATCTGCATAATTTCCGGACATGTTTTAAAATTTAAATCTTATCACGGATTTGAGTTGCTGGAATATTCCCGATCATGGTACGTACACATATGTATTTACTTATTTTTTAGTGTCAAGGAGCCGGTTTCTCGAATCGGTCAATGGTCATTCTACCCCGGTAATCAGCTACTAGCCACCGCGGTTACTGCTCTAAGTAGTGTTGCTTTCGAGGAGGCCGTCCTGCCTGTCATTACATGATTTGAATGTCCTGTGGGTTGATCTTAGGAGATGGTATTTACTTGCACGCCACTATTTCATCACTATTTATCCTGTTTAACCATGTTAGAAGGTGTCGTGGTCAAGTGGTTTAAGCACTGGACTTGAAATACAAAGGTCCTGGGTTCGATCTGCAACACGGCACCAGTGTCCTTTGACATGGCATTCATCTCCAGTTGCCACTCTATACCCAGGAAAGAAATGGGGACCTGGTAACAAAATGCTTTGTGGTAGTAGTGGCTATCTGATCTCACGGTAACCATATGGTAGGAATACTCCCCATGGAATTAAAATGGCGCACATTGAGAGTGAATGAATCCCATGACCGGTATAATAATATATGTAAAGCGCTTATAGAGAGTATTTCGTATTAAGCGCTGTATAAATAAATAAATTATCATTATTAATCAAAAAGGGGTGTCTTTATGGATGTTTTGGCTGTTACGCAACATAACAGGTTTGAAGTTTTGGCTTCTTATCATCCCATTATTTTCAAGGAATTTACAAACTCATTTCATTAGCTCTCAAATTGTTCAAAAGAAAATAAAGCCTGAATTTGTTTGACCACGATCTCCCAAGTTCATCACAAATATCGCTCATTTTGGTTGTAAAATGGACTTACAACAACTGTGAATCTGTTAGCATGCAGACATATACTGACTTCATCCTCGTATTTTAATACCACCTTTTCTCTCTTTTTAACCATATACATTCCGTTCTTAGCACTTAAAGTTGGCCATCGCGTTCCTTATACTCTATTACGGTGAGTTTTTATGGTTACTATAATACTTATTGCAACAATTGTGCGTTTCGAGGCAGCAGCAAAACAACTAAATTTTCATAAGGCACATGAAGATAAGGAATGTAAAATTCTAGAGCCAGGCTTGTTTTGAGGTTTGAAATCATCCAACCTGATAAACCTCTCTAAAAATCGCATATTGTGAACGATACTTAACACAGAAATGGGTCTTATGTTTTCCTTTCTCCCTCTCTTTCCCTTTTTTTTTTAATGTCACTATTCGATAAAGTGCCACCCCTTTTTAAGAGTGTTGCTTTTATTATGTTACGTAGGTAGCTCATTAATTTCACAAAATCAGCGCGATCTTTTGTATTTAGAGAGTATGTCAACCGAAAATTAAAGTTGGTCACCTAATTTGCCGGCTCTGTGTCTGCTTATTGAATGAAGTCATGTGTTTAATATTCATAACCTACCAATTAAATATGCATAACATTCATTATAGGACAGCTCACATAATTTCAATCTCACTGATTTTCATCAAACAAGTGAAAGCATTGTATTTTTTCACCCTGATTCATTAGGAAATGGTTTGTGGTTTAATTACCTTTTTTCCTTTTAGTTTTCATTCTCTTAATTATTTTGGATGTAATGTGATGACAACGTATATGCCCATTATTAGCTTGATGAAAACCTCTTTATTAAATTGATGCTTGCATTAAATTTACCCTATGTTATAGAATACGAAGGATAATTTAAAGTGATGATTGTGATTACAATAATGATACAAAAATGATGATTATACTGTTATTATTACTACTACTACAACTGTTAATACTAATGATGATAATACTATTAAAGTCAATTATAATAACAATTCCAATAGTAATAATATCGATAATAATAACAATAATACTGAAAAATATAAACGTTTCAATTCGTCGTTTCATTACAAATTATATATAGGGTCATTCGCGTAACAATAGTCCACCAAATGGGACTTACGTCAGCATTATAATCTACTCAAAATTTAACATATTTTCTTCTTCTTCCTTTCTTCTTCTTCCTTTCTTCTCCTTCTTTCTCTTTCACCAGAGCTTCTTGGAAACCTAATGTTAAAGGTCCAATATTATGTTAGTTTAGGGTGCTTTTGTTTTAGTATTAGTATTATAATACATTGTAGCGCATTGAGTGGTACAATATCAGAAAGTAAGCAGTACAAATACTTATTGTTATTCGTAGTAATTTTGTCCTTCTTATTTATTTTCTTTTCTTCTTTTACTTTCTTCTTTTTACTTCTTATTGTTCTTGCTTCTTTGTATCTAATTACGCTAAATAAACAGCCGCTTTAGGTGACGATACTTGCCCTGGAATACCCATTGACATCTGTCCTTATGGTAGCTCCGAATATACTGGGGAATTGGTCAAGTTTGTTCCCAAGTATTTAACACGTGATCACCCTGAATATGACGTCAGAACGCCAGAAGAAGCAAGGGACAAAATAAACCTATACTGCGCACATCCAGGTACGATAAACTATTCATTATATCCGCCTCTCCTCACTATATCTCCCTCTTTACCCATCCCCCCCCCTCTCTCTCTCTCTCTCTCTCTCTTTCTCCCTCCTTCACCCCCCCCCCCCCCCGTGTCTCTCCCTTCTCTCTATCTCTTTCTGTTTCGAGCTCAGTAAAACAATGATTTCGGATATAAAACAATGTTTAGATATTTGTTCACGTTTTGGGGGTTATCGTTTAAGAGTTTAAATGCACGAGTAAATACCACATTTGCATTCTTGCCCTTTAAGTCGGACGTTTATTTCATTACCTCTTTTCATGGAATGATTGTGACAATATGATTTTTTTTTAATTCCTTAAAGTTTGCATATTTTTAGAACTTCATTTATCAATCCAAAGAGTCAAAGAAATTGGTCATTTAAGGTTCTTACAAGATATAAACTTATCTATCGAGAACAATAAGGTAAGTATCCCAACATTACAGGCAATCGTGAATATTGTACTGTTTGACTTTGAACACATGATTTCTGTTTCTTAAAGCGTGTTACTCCCATCCTTGTCTTAACGGAGCGACTTGCTTTGAAGAGCTTGATGGGTATAGCTGTTTCTGCCTCGGAGGATTCATCGGAATACATTGCGAGCAGAATGAAGGTAAGTTATTTGCAAAGCTCTCTATTTAGCGTTGACTCAAACTTTGAAATAGAATCCTAACATGTTAATATTGCGTATGCAGTTTCAGTTTATAATTACCGCTGTGCGCGTGTATGTGGATATAAATTGGAATTCTTTTTATTGAAATGGTGATTTGTTTTTCACTGTGTTTCGGCCTGGTCGAAATCGGGGAGCTTCTCCGGGCGGCGAGCCGGCAGTGACCGACTGCTGACCCACCGATTCCCGAGCGGTCTTCTACCGGCCACCGGCTGAATTTAAAGAAATTGTCCGGCGGCCGGCCGGTGATCGGCGGGGCACCGACCTAATCGAGCGTTCGCCGTCGAGCGATCTAGGTCAAAAATCGAAGTCGCTTTATAGGTCAAAGGCTTATGACAGATTTTGAACTCGCCGCCCAATGACCGACTGATCTCCGAGCGGCGACCGGGCGGCGACTGCTCAGCAGCCTTTGACCTAGCGGCTTCGATTTTTGACCTAATTCGCTCGACGGCGAACGCTCGATTAGGCCGGTGCCCGGGCGGCGACCGCCCAGGTACCGAGCGAATTGTGGACGGCGAGTGAAAAGTGAGCAGGCGCCGCCCGAATTTTAACTCCGCGCTTAAACTTCAGCGCCGACCGAGCGATGCCCTAAAAACAAGCGGTGTCCTGGCGAAAATAGCTTAAAATGTGCAACCCGGCCGCCGAGCAGGCTACTTTTTGGGGTTGTGACCATAGCTTTAGCAAGCAAGCAATATAGATAGATATTATCGTCCTTGTTTTCACGAAGTGACGGTAGTGAGGAAAATCGTAACGCAAAGTGAATGCAATCTTTTTTCACTACCGTCACTTCGTGAAAACAGGGACGTTATGCTGGAGAAGGTGAAAATAGAATCGAAATGTTGCTATCGTGTGGCTGACCGAAAAAAAAGTATAATCAGTATAGTGATTCCAATCATCTTTTAAATCCCATTACAACAAATTAAATATAAAACTGCTGAATGAAATCCTGCCACGAGGAAGCTTGCACGCTACATCTATAGCGCTTTGTACACGCGAGCACGCTATCGACTGGCTGCTTCATTCATGCAAGCTAGCTGCCGCTTATCTGCTTCGTACATGCATGTCCGCATTTGTAATAGCAGTTATTCTTCATGCTCATTGCCCTGTGCTGAGTGCCTCGCACGTGCTATTAAAAGTACCATCTCGTGCATCAGATTACCTCCAAATAAACTTGGCACGGGGGGATTTGTGGCTTTGCACAATGGGGATTAACCTTGTGGCTCTGGGCTGTATTCGATATGGAAGGACAAGAGTTCAAATCAGTAAACACAGGACAAGAAAAAGCAAAACAAAATATATAAGGCAATATTGCTTTCTTTATGGAAATGAAACGTATACTGTCATCATCTTATTGCTACCAATGTGTACCAAGCAAATATTTTAGGCAGAACTAGAAAGATTTAATTAAACAAAAATACATGAACAAATATCCAGCATTCTATGAACAAACTATGAGGAGTTCATTGATGTCGTACTTTTCTCCTTTACAACCCCAGCCTGCCCAGTCGGTTGGGTGTATGGGCACACAAAGTGCTTCCTGATCGTGAACTCACTCCCGAATGCTAATTGGACAACTGCTCGTGACCTCTGTTATGGTCTGGATGCAGTTACCATGGGCAACGGAGAAATGGTTGAGCCTTCCCTGCTCTTTATAGAGAATATGGAAGAGTACTCTTTGGTGCAGCCTCACCTGAACGCAGACTGGGTCTGGGTGAACTGCAATTTTGTCGGGACGACATGGAAGTGTTACACGGACCGAGAAGGGACCCTAAGTGACTACCGAAGTAAGTTAAAAATTGTTGGTTTGAAGATGTTTTTTTTACGTGACTGCTAAGGAAACAATGTATATTTATATGCATACGATGAGGCGTAACGGCTCAATAGCAGAACAGTGGCAGAAATGTAGATTAACGTCTTGTCAAGGGACTGGGCCGGACTGGGATTTAAACCCCTTACCTTGTGATATACAGTCTGGTGACTTATCCATTTGATTCCGACACTTCTTTTTAACACCGTGAGTGTGTGTGTGTGTGTGTGTGTGTGTGTGTGTGTTTGTTTTTGTTACACTGACGTGTATCAATCAGATAGGAATATTAACGTCTGGGGACCGACCTCTAATGACACCACCCGAAAGACTTGACTAATTAACAAACTGGGGTCTTCTGGGTAAGTTTAAAGGTGATGACAGCGAGCTGACCAAATGTACGTGCCGCTAGACCGACTCACTTTTCTCTTAACACATCTCTATTTAACACACTGAATGTACATTCTCTTATAGATTGGGATACTGATCAACCACAGCAACGCAATGGCGAGAAGTGTGTGGTGATAATTTCCGGTGGCAGAATGCACGACCGTTTGTGTACGAGATCATATGCCACAGTCTGCCAAATCAACATATAAGGAAAATACAAGTACATCGGCATTCGATATCGAATCAGATATCACGGGAGGATTTTTTTTTCGCAAATCTTTAAATCACTTATCTACTCGACCATCGTTTGAAGAAAGAACACAAAAGAGGAAGATAGAGGGAAAGGAAGGAAGTGGAAAGAGGGAACACGACTGTACCCCTTCCAGACAACCCTAATCCCCCTTTATTGATTGTCTTGTTATTATTTGTTTTATAACAAACGAATTTCACCGCTCCCCCATGATGCCTATGCCTGTACCCCCTGAATGTATAGCCCCCTCTTGGTATGACAATGGGATAATATGTAGCTGTGTAATCGCTGAGGGAACTATCATCAAGACAGTCATATTGTAGGCTTATTATTCTTGCAAATTTTATTTAAAATAAATAGCACAAGAGTAAATGTTATGTTTGATTTGGTATTATAATGATTCATGTATAAGTTGATTGGAGGAGGAGTTGTCTGTCAGCTGGAATGGTTGTTTATATAACGTTCCACGTAGGGTCAAGACAAAGGTACTCAGCCTACAATCTAAGCTTTTTAACAATCTACAAGCTAAGCTTTTTAATAGGTTCCTCACATTTCACTCTGTATAACCTTCTATTCATTACAATTAATTTCGACGTCTTTTCAAAGAATTAATTATATAATGTGACACTTTTAGTATATTTCATATTATGTTCTATTGTTGTCAATTATGTAAATTCTTTTTATTTGTGAAATGTGAATCAAAATTGAAACTTGAAACCATCGTCTTATTGGAGATCTTACTCAGCCAATCCTGACAAGTGCTCATGAACCTCCACTATACCACACTATCCTGCACTCTCCCATACCTCTCTTACGTCCGGTCTCTCCCCCTCAGCAATATTTGCTCTGTATAAATCATGGGTTCTCCAAATACTCGAGTATGGTTCATCTGCCTTGGATCCCTTCAATATCTGTCTCTCAGATAAGTTAGAAAGCATCCAACGCCGCCCACCCGTCTCATTCTAAAAGAACAACGTCAACAAATGTCAAAATCGACTGCAATTGTTAAACTGGCAAAGCTTACCGTTTTGCTGTACTTTCCTTATCATCTCTTCACCGTCCCTCCTCTAGTAAAGGTTTTGCAGCTAACATACACGTGGTTGCAAGGCGTCTGGATTATCAGTGTTTTAGACATCTTCGTGCTCGCACTCAGCGACTAGCTAATACGGCACTATTTTTTTCCCATTCTAAGAGTGGATGGTTTTATTCAAATTAAACGATGGGGGGAAGTATGAAGTTAGTCAACCCTTTTGTAAGCGAAACTTGAAAAGTGCTATTTGTAGAATATTTATATCATCAGCTTTTAGAGTTTTTAGTTTTGAAAACAAGGGAGTTGTGTGGTCGTGATAGGAAGAATCAGTACATATACGCATAGCTTTCTTTTGTAACAGTAAAATGGCGTCAACGTTGCTTTTTGAATTTGCCCATTTAATGTTACAATATGAAAATATAAACAAGATATTTGAAGGGACATAATATTTCAATTTACAGAGAATACCAATATTACGTGAAATAGTTTCATAAATATATTGCACATGCTTATTCCGCCTAAGATTTTCATTGATCAAAACACCAAGGAATTTCGTGTTATCCCTTTTTTCAATAATTCACCATCCAAAGTAATTTCAATGTCAGGAATATAGTTATTTTTCCTGTTCTGAAAGTATATATAGTTTAATTTCTTTAAATTTAGGGACAGTTTATTACTTCTAAACCAATTTGATATTTTTGGTAATTCAGCGTAAATATTTCTTAAAAGGATCTGAAAACCTGAACTGGAACAAAATGCGTTGGTGTCATCAGCGAATAAAGTATACTGTAGTGCATTTGATAAATTACAAATATCATTTACATATATCAAAAATAACAAAGGGCCGAGGATTGACCCTTGTGGCACTCCACACGTTATAGATTATAATTCTAATTCATTTGAATTCTAACATACATATAGTTTTCTAGCCACACTTTGAAAATATATATATTCTTTACTGTCCTATAATATTCGATTCCTTGGAAATGAATAGGATATGTTTTAAATGAAGTTGAAATCATTGTGTTTTAGCCAAAATTACAGGTTTCTCTTTTAAACTACGTCAATATGCATAATTATGTACGCCACAACTGCACATGCATTTCCAGGATTTTAAGCGATTCAGTTTCTTTTGCGCAGGCATTTTGTAGATTGTTCAAGGCACAGTTCTGGTTTTTGTAATGGCTAACTGGCGGCGGTCGTGATGAGATCAAAGCTTGGAAGCATGTTTGGAATGGCATTATGATACTTTTGACAGAGTAAGGTGCATGAAAGTATAATGGTACCGTTCAGTGTCCATTTGTGGTAGGTCAATGGTTTTACCAAGAGAGTTCTGTTGCTAAGTCTTGTTGCCATTCTTTTTCACTAGGCCGCCATCCATTTCCAGCCTAACCGCTTACGGTGGCGGTCTCCTGCGTTATGAATTTATCTCTTTAGTTGAATAAAAAAATATATATACAAATACCTGTCATACTTGTCTGTATGCTTTGTATATGGTCATTGTATAATATTATTATACATGATTTGATATGTGTGTAATACTTATGTAAAGATAAATAACATTGTATTTGTTATTTGAACGCAGAAATAAAATCAATCAAACAATCAAAGAAACAAAATATCAAGGATTTGTATTTCCATTGTTTAGATTGCAATATTAGATAGCAGATTGATTTTCCCAATGTCTCACTGCCTTGCACTTAAGGGCTCTATATTAATTGTGCGTTATTCCCTATCTCCAAAGAATTTGCCTGTTGTATGTTACTTAGTCGTCTATGACTATTTTATTTTCACTTTCTTTCTTGTTTTATTTTAATGACCTTTTTTAAGAGAGGGGGAAAATGACTCCTTTTATTAAAGGGATCGTTGTGTTCTGATGCAGAGGGCGCTACACAACATTATTTGTTTGTGAGATAATGAAAAACTGAATGTCAAATTTGAAAGAACATAAAATTTAAATGACAATATAACGATTTATAATACTTAACGATTTCTAATAGATAATTTGAAAAAGCCGTTGAAAAAACGAAATACCGCCTTTTCCGTCGTATTTCATTTAATGCCGATGCTGGCTTTTTTGGTTGGCATTTTCGTGTTGGTTGTATTACGCACAACCAGCCGGCCCATGTATTGTTATTTGTAATTAAATAATTAACTAACAGTCATCATATTATTTTGAAAAGTGGAGCTGAAATGGTATGATCGTATTGGCTAAATTTCACACATGTTAGGGTCTAACATTACCTTTATAGCAATGTTAGGTTCTAAATGGGCAGTATAAATGTCATAGATAAGAACAGGAGCAATAACCATGCACTTTGAAGGCATATGCGGTCTGAAAACAGAACTCAACTATCCCTTTAATACTGCCTATAGTAGGTTTGAATTTAAAAGGTATTATAGGAGGCGAAAACGAAGTAGTATAGCAGAGATTCTAAAGACGTTCAAGGAGAGTGAATTTGAGAAGAAAAGAAAAATAGAATGAAGAGTAAAGAAAAAAATATAATAATGATAAGTAGGAGAAGGTGAAGAAGGGAAGAAAGAAGAAGAAGAGGAAGACAAAAAATAAGTGGAAGAAGAAGAGGCAGTAGAAGAAGAGAAAACAAATTGATGAAATCAATGGCATTGTAAAATAACAAAAACAAAGTCTGTATAGAGTACAGAAGCTATGACATTATACAAATCAATTTTTAAAATTTCTCAATTTTGTCTTCATTTTCCAAAAGAGCATAAAAAATAATGTCCGAATTTCTAAAACCAATTGAATATATTAAATGTTGGCTAAGATATGACCATCTGAATAAATATATGTCCTATGGGAACTTAGTGTTATAGTGCATTGGTTCATATCATTGGGAACAAGAGCACTATAACGCTGAGTTCCCACAGGACATACATTTATTCAGATAGTCATATCTCAGCCAACACTTAATGATTTTCGACATTCGGATATTATATTTTATGCTCTTTCGGAAAATGAATGAGAAATTGTAAAAATCGATTTGTTTAAAACGTCACACTTCACCACTTTATAATCACCTGTACGATCCAGCGCGACATCAACATTACTTTTTTACAAACTTACTCAAAAGGAAACTATTATGAACAGGGCGACAGGAACAGGGAGATATTAGATGTATTTTGTATTTGTGTGTTTGTTTGTTTCACCTGACTGATATTAAGAAAGCAGGTGCCGGTATGCTTATAAGTAAGCAAACAGGGGACCGACGACTTTAAATCCCCTCCGAGGGACTAGGTACACACTTAAAATAGTTGGGCAAAAAAATGCCCAACTTTTAACCAACACTGAGCAACATACGGTCCACACAACTATTGGTTAAAATCTGCCCAACTGATGTTGGGTAATCAGTTTGCTATGTGGTTGGGCAAATTAAATTGCCCATCAGTTGGTGACCCATCATATTTTACCCAACTCTACAATTGCCTAACAGTTGGTTATATTTTCAGTTGGGTAATTTCTTGCCCAACCAATTTTACCCAGTTAGATATTGCCCAACCTTCTATTTGCCCAACTTTTGAGTAAGTTTAATGTTGGTTAATTAAATGCCCAACCAGTTTTTACCCAACTCCCAGTTTGCCCAACTATCAAAACACCCATCTATTGGGTAATAATTGCTCAACAATTTCTCTGCAACATCCATTTGCCCAACTCTCAAAACACCCATCTATTGAGTAATAATTGCTCAACAATTTCTCCACAATATCCATTTGCCCAACTATCAAAACACCCATCTATTGGGTAATAATTGCTCAACTATTTCTCCACAATATCCATTTGCCCAACTATCAAAACACCCATCTATTGGGTAATAATTGCTCAACTATTTCTCCACAATATTCATTTGCCCAACTCTCAAAACACCCATCTATTGGGTAATAATTGCTCAACAATTTCTTCGCAATATCCA